TATTCAGAGATTTGGGGAGAAGAAAGAAAAAAAAATTGCATAGGGTTTTACTAAGAACCATATCAAAGTCTTAAACAATAACGAACCGGTCCGGTTTTATCAGGTTTATTCCGGTTTAATCATCAGTCAATTTTTTTATTTGTTTCCGAGAACACAAATAAAGAAGCCGTCTTTTTGCCTCCGACGAGGTTACTTCGCAAACTGTGTCTCCCGGAGATTTCTGACAATCAAATCGCCCCAAATTCGATCGTCGTTTTAGCTGAATCGAGATGGTTTATATCGCTTCTTGGGACGAATTCGTGGATCGATCTGTTCAGCTTTTCCGAGCTGATCCCGAATCTGTAGGTTTTTTTGTTGCTCTCATTCATCACGGTTGCTTTGGAGTTATTTGGCTTGATTCAATGGTGTTTGGGTTATAATCACTCGATTTCGTATTGGGCATTGGATAATTGACTTGAATCTCGTCGTGTTTGTTCAAAATCTGGGGACTGTGTTTGCAATGTTTCGTTTCCAGAATGTTTTTTTGTTTCTGATGAATTGGATATTTGGGTTCGATTTTTGTGGTGCAGACTCGGTATGTGATGAAGTATAGACATTGTGACGGCAAGTTGGTTCTCAAGGTTACTGATAACAAAGAGGTTAGTAATTGATTCTATGATTTGTTGCTTTTAATTGTTTGTGTATAATAGATGCTTCTACATTGGAATTGCAATTGTATGGAATTTTATATTTGGTATCTTATCAGGATGATAGTTTGATGGTATAATACTGATTTGGAGAATGTGATCTATGGTTTTCATGATGATTGGTTGGTGTTTCATTGTGCTTTTTTCGTGATTACATTGGTTTTAGCTTGGTGAATGTCTGTTGCTATTAGGCTATGTCTTCGATATTGCTTATTTTTCTTATGCCTTAGCACAGATAAATAATTCACTCTTGAGAGCAGTTTATCTTGGTGGACGATGAAGCATGTTTGTGTTTGTTAGGCAAAGTGAGATACTTTAGACCTCGTCGAGACGGGCAAAGTTTTACATAAAGAATTGCATCAGTTTCTGTGGTTTATTAGCTCCTCTCTGTTGTAGCCCTCTTGTTTTATGCGAATAATAGATTTTTGTTTCAACTTTTTTCTTACTTAGTGTCTCAAGTTCAAGACCGACCAAGCACAAGAAGCAAAGAAGATGGAGAAACTAAATAACATATTTTTCACCCTCATGGCCAGAGGACCTGATGGTAAAATTTCATTTTTCGCTTACCAAACTTAAAGAAAGAATGGAATTTCACATTCGTATGTGCATCATATCTTAATGTTGGAGTGGAAATATCCTTTGTTTTACGAAAGATCATATAACATACTGATAGGTTATCGGGTTTATAGCTTCTTTTCTCTACCATCATTTTTTTTCGCCTACCGAACTAAAAGAAAGAATGGAACTAAATGATCGAATGTGAATCTTTCTTATATAAACGTTGGAAAGGACTTTAATACATCAGTGTAACATCTTCACTGACTATTGGATTTAAAGCCTAGTTTGTTTATTTATATTTGTTGATTTGTATAATGCAGTTGATCTCTCTGAAGTCACAGGGAAAGAACAGATGGAGACACAGCCTGTGAAAAAAGGAAGAGGAAGGAAGCAATAAGTATGATGAATCTGGTTTTGTTTTTTTTTTTCTTGGAATCAAGATTTTGATCCATTTTGGTTGGAGATTTTGAGATGGGTTTGTGATTGTAGGGTTGTCAAAGATTTGTTCTAAAGCTGACTTTGGATCTATTTATACATTTTTTTTTTCTTCTTCTTAAAAGTGTGCGTGGGGGCATTTGGTAGATTAATCACTTTTGGACTTAGCTTAAATACCAAAATACAAACCTTTTTTTTTAAACTTGGAT